TATGGGGCCACGAGACGCCGTGCTGGGTGGCGCGGGACGAATGTGATCACAGCCACTGGGGCCTTCGGTGGAGCTCTGTATGGGGCCACGAAACGCGGTACTGGTTGTTGCGAGATGGGGAGGTGGGGCGAGGAGGAGGAGGAGGACACCCAAAACGAGGACCCAACACGAGGACCCAAAACGCGGGGCGCTGCCTCTTCAAAACGAGAACCCAACACCACAGGATGGCTGGGCAAAAAAATCCAGAGGAGGGAGGGGGAAGAAACAAGCAAACCGCCTCAGACATCCCCACAATCCGGGCGAGAACCCTGGAGTGTCCCCACCCCTGGCGGGTCGCCCCTGGGGTGCCATAGTGCCACGCCTGCTATATCGCGGTGAGCATTGAGCTACCAAAGACGAAAGTCTGGGGGGGCAGGAACAGGCAAACCACTCAAGTCATCCTCACAATGTGCTTTGAAAGCAAGGATGTGGGGCATGCAATCAGCCAAACCGCCTGAGATATCCCACAATCTGTGTACGATTCCTGGAGTTTCCCTACCCCTGGCGCCCCCCCCCCTAGGAGTGATGAAACCAACGCCCGGCCCGAGACATATCCACCATCTGCTCCGAAAGCAGAGGGCGTTGGGCATGCAAACAGGCAAACCGCCTGAGACATCCCCACCATCTGGGCGCGAATCCTGGAGGGTCCCCTTCTGCGTCTGACTACGGGAGGAGTACGAGTGTGAGTTAATATGAGCGCGAGTTAGTCTGAGTGTGATTGAGTCTGAGAGTGAGTGAGTTTAACTATGAATGCGTCTGGGCGTGAGTGAGTGTTAGTGTAACGGGCCTGAGTATCAGTGAGTCCGAGCGCGAGCGAGTCTGACTGTGAATGAGTCGGAGCGTGAGCAGGTCAGAGCGTGAGTGTCTGAGTGCGAATGAGTCTGAGTGTGAGTGAGCCTGAGTATGGCTGAGCACGACTGAGCCTGAGCGTGACTGGCCCACTCTGGCTGAGGAAGAGGAAGAGCAGGAGCCGAGGAAGAGGAGTGTGCTCCCGGGGCCGTCGAAGTAGCAGCAAGAGCCCATCTTAGAACACAGGGACTCACAATAGCCCCAGCTCTGGACAGGGGGGAACGACCGCCCCCCACCTGCGCAACTGGTGCTTGTTCGACGAGCCGGGTGTCGGGCGACAAGCGGTGCCGCCGGCGCCCCCGAGAAGGCGCCCGACTCGGTCGGGCACCCTGGGGAGCTGCGCGATACGCCGCGCCGCCAGCGCCGCGACTCCTGCGCAGCTGGTGCACGAGATTGCGCGCGATGCCGTGCACTGCGAGGGACACCCCGCGAGCGGGAAAGCGCCCCCCAAAAAAGATTGAGGAGGAGCCGCGCTCTCCGCCCGCGCAGCCTCGAGGAACTGCTCACGCCTCCGGCTGCTTTGACTCGAGAAGAGCCTCCATTACTGCAGATACTTGCAAGGGGGGATAGTTTACCACGGGTAAGGACTGTTTTGCCATGCTTTGTTTGGTCGCGGCCGCAAGCGAAGGCGCAGGCGGCGAGTCGGTAAGTCCGGGGCGCGGTCCTTACTAATTTACAGCGAGGAGCAAACTAGAAGTGTTTTGCCACGCGAAAAGTGCGGATTGCTTGTATGACGGAAGACCTCTTGCGAGGGCCCCACATTGAAAGAGGGCCGCCCTCCACCCCCCATCAACTGCTGCGCGTGCTCGAGACGAGCGCACGCGGTGCCAAAGGAAAGGGCCGCCCCCCATCCCGGAGGCTCCTGCGGGCCTGTGAGGCGGGTGTGCGCGGCGCCGCGGCCAGAGCCCGGGTTCGAAGAGGAGCCGCCCGCCCTCCAGCCCTGCAGATTCGGCAGGCTGCGAAGACGAGCGCGAACGGCGCCGGCGAGAGCTCAACTCTGGAAACAAGCAGTCCTCCGTCCTTGTGATGTGTCCGTAGTGGTACGAAAAAAAACACATACGAGCGGCGGTAAAGCGAGAGCCCCATGCTGAAAACCACCAGCCTTCCATCCTTCTAAAGTCTGCAAGCTGTGAAGACGAATGTGCGCGGCGCGATGGTGAGATTCAAATTTGGAGCACGAGCCACTCCATCCTTGCAGTTGCTGCAAGCGTTTAGGACGAACTTGTGCGGCGCCAAGGCGGGAGCTCCTTTTCACAAACATTATCCTGACGAAGAATCCAACAATATGCGGTCCTGAGTACCGCACTTGTGGGTATCGTCTTGCGTGGAGCTCCATGGGCCACGAAGCGCTGCACTGGGTGGGGGGGGCGCATGCGGACTGCGCCACTGGGGCCTTCGGTGGAGCTCCCTCTGGGGCCACGAAACGCTGTACTGGGTGGGGGGAGGGCGCATGCGGACTGCGCCACTGGGACCTTCGGTGGAGCTCCCTCTGGGGCCACGAAACGCTGTACTGGGTGGGGGGGACGCATGCGAACTGCGCCGCTTGGACCATGCCGATTGGGGAACTGGGTGGAGCTCCCGATGGGGCCTGGGAGGAGGGTAACAGCCCAACCTAAGAGCAGAGGCAAGGAGAGAGGGAGGAGGGAGGAGGGGGAGGAGAGGAAGGAAGGAAGGAGGAGGAGGAGAGGAAGGAAGGGGGGAGGGGGTAGGAAGGAGAGGAGGGGAGGGGGAGGAGGGAGGGGGAGGGGAGAGGAAGAGGGAGGAGGAGGAGGAAAGGAAGGAGAGGTAGGGGAGGAGGAGAGTAGGAAGGAAGGAGCGCGAGGCGTCGTCGCTTCAACGCGAAGACCCAGCACCACAGGATGGTTGCGACAAGTCCTGCATCTGGGGAAACCAGAAGATACTCCAGATCTCGTAATAAAAGGGAGGGGGGTCTCATTTCGGGGGGGGGTCTCTTCCAGGCTATCTTGGAGGGCCTGGGGGGGTCTGGGGACGATGTTTTGGAGGGTTCTCCCACGGGGGGGGGGTCTGAAATGGCGTGTCTTGGAGGGTCCAGACCCCCTCCCTTTTATTACGAACTCTGGAGTACCGATACCGCTACTCCCCGGACCTCTCCCGGGGTGCGTTCTGACCAGGACTTCGAGGCGAATCAGGCGGTGGCGACGAAGGCCTCCGAAGAGGCCCAAAAAAGGGAAAACGGGCGAGGGGGTAGAGGTATAGGTACCCTTTCCTCCTCTGAGCATCATTGATCCTGCTGGAACTTCCAGGATTCGGTGTCACAGGTTGAGAGGATGTGTCCGTCGAAACGCCGCGCCCGCCCTGCTGACACTTCGGGTGGTCAGGCGAGGAGCTATTTTATTTATATATATATATATAAATATATGTGCATACACGACTGCATTGGCGCTTCGCGCCATGTACCTTGGTCCTTGAAGTTTGGTATGCAGGCGGAATAGCAGGAAGGTCAAGCCGACGATTTAGCGATAACTCCTTGTTGCATGTTCTGGCATCGCCGTTGCAATAGTGTCGGTCGTTGTCCTTTCTCCATGCTTCTTTTTCCTCATTCTCGCCATACCCTGCGAATTCTCCCCATTCTCCTCAGCTCTTTTTGCGGAGGCTCTCTCATTGGAAAGCCTCTGGGAGCCTCACACAAGTTTTTCAGGTTTTCTTCAGGCCTTCTGGAAGCCCCTAGGCGTCTTCTGGGGACCTCTGGGGGCTTCCTCGGGCCACCCCGCCTCCAACCGCGGTCTCCCTTAACGACCGGGTCACGATTTGGAATGCGTCGGAGGGCGTCTTGGGGCCATCTTGGGCCGTCATGGGGCTCTCTTAGGCCGTCTTGGAACCCTGTTGTACTGTCTGGGAGCTCTCTTGGACTGCCTGGAAGCCCTTTCGGACGGTTATGGGGCGATCTTCGAGCCTTCCAGGCGGCTTCGGATGGCCAGAAGACGCCGTCTTGGAGCGTCGGGAAGCCGAAAAGAGGAGAACCCCAAAATCCACCAAAAAACCCAAAGAAAAACATTGAATTTTGCCTCTTGGGGCCTTCTTGGGAGTGCTCTTGGAGGCCTCTCTGAACGTTTTGGAGCGATCTTTGGGTGTATGACGGCTTCTTTGGAGTCATCGTGGACCGTCTTGGGGCTCTCTGGGGTCGTTCCAGGAGCTCGCCGAAACGCCTGGAGCCCTCTGGGGCCATCTTCGGGCTCTCGTGGGGTTCTCCCAGGTCGTCTGGAGGGTTGCCCGAGAGGCCCGGGGTGGGCCAAATTCGTTAGGGGGGAGGGGGGGTGGAGGGGGGGGGGGGGGGGGGGGTGGGGCTTTTTCCGGGGTCCCCGGCCCTATAAAAACACATGAATAGAACATTTACACATTATAGAAGTAATAAGGAGGAGAAGGAGGAGGAAGAGGAGAGGAGGAGGAGAAGAGGAAGAGTGGGGGAAGAGGAGGATGAGGAGGAAAAGGAGGAGGGAAAGAGGAGAAGAAGGAGGAGGCAGAGGAGGGAGAGAGGGAGGGTGCACGAGGGATGAGGAGGAGGAGGAGGAGGAGGAGGAGGAGGAGGAGGAGGAACGGGGAAGAGGAGGAGATGGAGGGGGAGGTGGGGAGGTGGAGGAAGAGGAGTGAGGGACTCGCTCACATCGTGCAGCAGCCGCCGTCATCGTCGTACGGCACGGGAGGTTGTAAGGGGGGGGTCCGCGGCGGGAGCTCGACAAGTGCCACCTCGGACCTGAATTCCTGATCGAGCATTCTCTGGAAGAGTTCGAGGTCTATTGACCGCCGCACCCCCTGATCCATCTGCCTCCAGAACTCGTACTCCGTGTGCGCCAGCGTGAAGTTGGAGAACCACCGGATCAACGGCCAGCTCGCGAGCGCGGCGACGACAGCGTTGATCGCAATGTTTCCGAGAATCACCTGGCATACTCTCGAAGCCCTGGGTACGCCAACGCCGATCTCTCTTAGGGCGCCTAGATTTTCTTCCGCTAGCTTGCGCCGACCCTCCGCGGGCTGTCTATCTCCGCCAGCTTCCGCGGGCCCTCTGCCGGCTGGCGCCGAGGGCGAGGTGGCAGCTCCTCAGCTCCCCGAAGGCGAGGCCATTTATGCAGCGCCCCGCCTGGAAGCCGAAGGACGTGATGTCGCTGGACTCCGCCCACTCCAGGCGCCTCGAGGCGGGCTGGTGGTCGCAGATGCAGTGCATCGTGTAGTCCACGGGCGGGAAGTGAGCCACAGCGTGGCACAGGTAGTCCCCCGCGGCGTCCAGCTGGGCGAAGGGTCCATGCCTGCCTGCAATCACGCTGCTGAGCTTCGCGTACGCTTCGCCGCTGTCGTCCGCGAACTTCCTAGCGTAGTACACGGCTCCGTGGCAGTACCCCTTCTTGCCGTCCTCGGTGCACACATTGCTCCAGCAGGTGTAGCTGCCCCCGCTGGGCCAATGATCTTCGAACGGGCTGACCCAGGCGGGGTCTGCCAGTGGCCAATTGATGAAGTCCACAACGCTTTTGGCCAGCACAAGGAGGACCAGCGCCGTAGCGCAGACGCTGAGAAATCTGGGGCGCGTCTGGAAGATCCACGGGGCCAGCCTCGACAGCTGCGGCCGGCTCGTAACACTGGCCGCAGCCTTGTCAACGGCCTGGCGGAGCACGCCAGACACGAACTCCTCCAGCTCCGCCTCTTTGTAAAGTTCCCGCGATGCCTTATCCGTAGCTTTCCAGCCTTCCATGTACAGCTCATCTCGGACGACCAACACCATTCCCAGCTTGTAGTAGACCACGTCGTGAATCCTCGCCTTCACGCCGTCCACGTTCTCGGATATCAGGGCCAGCAGGTTGTCGTCGTCAACCAGGGGAGCGATCTCCTGGTAGAAGCCGATGACATTCTTGAAGACGAGCACCGCGCCGAGCACCACCCCGACCAGCAGCGCCCACCACTTCCACACGCCCCCTTGCTCAGCTATCATCCAGAGGCAAAGGGCGACGCCGATGTATGCCGCGTTGGCGGCTATGTCGGCCCGGAATCTGGCGATCCAGACGCGTACCTCGCCGTGCCTCGCTTGGTGGCAACTAAGGGGCCACATGCGAACCCTACCCCTGCAGCGGGAGCACGATTCGCAACGAGCGGAAGCGCGGAAATGAGGCCAGCGCTGCAGCGGAAGCACGATTCGGAACGAGCGGTCTACCCACCACGATTTCTGAGGGGGAGGGTGCGGTTCACTCCGCTCGGGAGCTACCGAGCGAAGCGAACCCCACCCTCCCCCTCAGAAATCGTGGGGGGTAGGGGTAGGGTTCGCATGTGGCCCCCTCCTCCTCCTCCTCCTCCTCCTCAGCCTCCTCCTCATCCTTCTCCTCCTGTCCTCCTTCCTCCTCTCCTCCTTCCTCCTCTCCTCCTCCTCCTCCTCCTCCTCCTCCTCCTCATCCTCTCCTCCTCCTACATACCTCCTCCTCTCCTTCCTCCTCCTCCTCGCTCCTCTCCTCCTCCTCCTCCTCCTCCTCCTCCTCCTCCTCCTCCTCCTCCCTCGCTCCTCATCATCCTCCTCCTCCTCCCCTCCTCCTCCCCTCCCCTCCTCATCATCATCATCATCATCATCATCATCATCATCATCA